TGGTAACCTCTTTGGCAAATAACTCTTTTGCGGTTTTCCTGAAAGCTACACGCTAAAATTCTGAACCAACAACTATCACTTCAAATGAAAAATAAACCAGAGTGTAACAGCAAACCTTCTTCTGATCCAGCCTTCGAAGGTCTTTTCCGCCGTTTTCATATCGGGAGTGCTTGGTGTTGGTGGAGTGTCATCAGCATTCCATTCACGTGTTGGTGTGAGACGAAACGGTGTTGGGCTAGACATGGAGGGTATGGAAGTAAGTGACGCTGGACTGGGCAAGACCCATGGATCATCGCTACCAGAAACACTTGTGAACCTGAATGAAACGACATAAACAAAGCAAAAATCTGTAATTGAGTTACAGATGCCAACTTTTGATAAAAAGGTATTCAGAAGCGGATACCTAGGTGAGTCCAAGGTTAGACCTGATAGGTTGGAATCACCGGCAGGTGCTCGGAATCTCTGCAATGACGCCTCTTCATAAGGTGCACTCCAGTCAGGATCAGAGCAGCTGGGTTCTGTGATATTGAGTTGGTTCAATTCCGGAGGTTCAACAATGGAAACTTCAGCAAATTCCGCCGGGCCTGCAATTTTGTCAGTTCAAAAAATGATTCTCGCGAAAGACAATTCACAGGGTCTTGCGTACAAGGAGGGTCAAAAAATCGATTCTGCTCGTGACGCCACCAGCAATGTTTACTTCGAAGGAGGGAACGAGGCAGGTGGAATTACCAGAACTAATATTCCCGAGATCCCGATAATTAGAAGCAGGTCCTTGTCCACTTGCCTCCAAAGTCACCAAAATATCAGGCAATCTATTACATATCACTGCCAACCTCAAAATGTCTAAATAACTGCATCACACTGTCGTATCTGTGCAATTTCCTCAACACCTTGCTAGTGACCGTGAATTGGGTATAGCTATGAAAGGCTCCGGCAAACGGCTTGAGTTCGAACTTCTATCTAGAACTAGGGAGAGCGATCTCGCCTTTCTGTAGGCCGAATTAAAAGCGAGTATGAGCTTCCACATCTAGCCCCGATAACGACATTTTGCGTGTTCTGCTATCATCCGATGATAGCAAAATACGATGAAGTATACCCTCCTTCCAGAAGCGGTGGGCATTTGGTGTATGATGCTCAAAAAACGCTCGCTTTGCTGGAATCGATGGATATGGAAAATCTGTTAAGGACTGCAACCCTAGGTGTCCTGCCGTCAACCGTGGACAAAGTTGACAGTCAAGCGTGGGCAAAGCTCACCACCAGAAGAACTGCACATGAAAACGTGTGGAGAACAAACGTTTTCTCCCCCTTGTAAATCTTTACACCTTATATGATCTGCATGAAAGTGAAACATGAATAATGAATAATAAATATGATGAATATGAAAGTTGAGGGAAAAAACTCACATCCAACATTGAAGGGCAATTGTTCGGCTATAATGTCGTCTTCCACTTCCTGTACGAGCTTATTATCTATAAAGGATCTCACATATCCATCCGGCTGATGTCGCATTGTGCGAGCCCGACGGACTATTCGAGGAATAGCGATCGGGCCTTCATGATTGTCGGGTGAGGGATGACTGAAATAATCCGCTTAATTAAAAAGCTTCAACTCCTCAAACTCCTGTACGATTTAAAGTAGAGAAAATCGCGTTTCATAGCTTCTTAACAAGGGAAACAAGTCCCGACTCACCCAATCAAATCCAAGAGATCCCAGCTTACATAAGAACGCTCATCCTCTTCAAGGAAGAAATTCCCTACGTGGACTTCCAGCACAAAAAGATGAACGCCTGGTGGTTCGAAGCTTTTTCCTAAAAATCGTTCAAAATATTCGCGAAGCATTTTAAGTTGAACTCAAAACCCATACAAACAAACCCCTTCATCTCCATCAAATTGAGCAAATCGCCAATAAATGTCGAAGATCGACGACGATTAAGCGGATAGTTGATTTCCTGAACATATCGATCAAAATCTAAGAAAATATAGTGAGTAGCCACAACATAGTTCCTCAATCACTGCAGAAAAATATCTAACCTTAAACAGCTGCTTTCCTTTTTCAGCAGTGTCCGTAGCTTGACTTCCAGGAATCATTTTAGCCAGTGGGCGATTGGGCTTCACTGTTTTCTTAAATGGAAGTGGAACCGAATGGCGAGGTCTCTTATTGACAACAAGGTGCAGTTCGGTGTCCGTGGAAGAACCAAGACGCTGTGCAACGCGAGTCAGGTCCCATCCAATAACCTTCAATATAAGAATAGACAAATCGAAAGAATAGATGGAATAGAAAAACAACAAAGAGCGTAATAAAGGAGATAAATTCCCCGAAATTTGCTAATGGTTTGCTGGCATACATTATACGAAGTTATACGATGACACTTCTCATTGTCGAGGGGAACTCACTGTTTTGCCATTTAATGAGCATGATTTCGTCACCAGCATCGATTCTACCACAGAGATCTGCAGGAGACCCTACTTTTACTTCACTGATCACATGCACACCACGATAAGATGACTGCAGATTAATACCCTGGAAATGGATAAAGTCAGATCGCTTGTCTGCAATTGGTGTTGGTAACAGTGGTCACCAACTCACCCAATTTGTGTTAACATCATGTCTTGACGAAGTAGTGCTCGTTCAGTATATGCAGTGTACAGCACTAAAGGGTCATCAAATGTCCCGTACAATGCTTTCGCATTGTTCCTTGAGATTATTGATTTTCTGAAACGAGAAATGGAAATGAAAGCAATGCGATCCGTGAGCGATTGCAGGGTCGAAACTGTTAGATTCATAGAGGGTGTAGCAAAAGTTTTTTTAGTGAGACATGAAAATCCTCGAATCTGACTCAAGAAATTTTCCCTCCCGTATTGTTTCCTTGGGCATATTTCGTACCTCTCGTAGCTTGCTTCACTGAAGTAAAAACTTTGCGAACTTTCTATATTACAGTAAGTTCGAAACACCCTGGATGACTCTGGAGCAACGCCCGAACAAGGATTTCGGTTGAACGTTCACACTACGCACTAGATCCCAGATGGTCATCGAGATGCGATTTCGAATTTCAATGTATTGCTTGATATCATCAAAGGGGCTTCTAAACGAAAACCAAGATTTTGAACCAAATACAAGGGATATAGAGTGAAAAGAAAACCGATATTAGTCACCAAATCATTACCTATCTAACCAAAATACCAGCTTTTTTACGTTTTCTACCAGCACAGACATCGAGAGGGAAATACTATTCAGAATAGAAACAACATGAACTCTTGTCAGTGGCTAAAATGAGCAATTTCAAATAAGTGTAGATAAGGTATCATAGAAATAGTTGTGTTAGAAGAATACCTTCTCATCACGGCAATGCACAGCCTTTTCCAGCTCATGAATGACCGCTTTACAAGCCACGACAACCTTCATTGAGTGACTTTGCAGGTTTTCAGAGGGAGCTTCAGTACACTGAAAATGCTTTCTTACATTTAATGATAATAGGTTCAGGATTTATCAATTCCTTTCTAGATGTACCACGTATTACACCTCGACACATAATCTTAGTAGCATTTGAATGCATTTGTAAAATAACTTGTAGGCACCAGCCAACGTCAAATCAGTGTTTTCATCCTCCTAGACGAATCTGAACCAGTTATCCATCCCAAAGGGATGAAGGCTTGATTGGATCCAGAATTGGTATTCATTAGAACTTGACATCCGAATGGTGTGTGTGTGGTATGCAGCTTTTCTTTTCGCTCCATCGCCCCCCCCCCCTCATACGTTTACATTAGCATTTTTTCATAGTAAAAAAGTTACATGACACCACAGTCAAAAGGCAAAAAATTAAGACCCATCCCGAATATAAACTTAGGAAACTCAATTCAAGAAACTATCGCGTTCTCCTACGATCAATCAATTTGAGAAGAGCCTCTCACTTTGAAAAAAAAGGAGTACTGTCGGCGGAGGGAAGTGTAACTAGTCAAACCAAACCTCCCATGCTTCTAACAATAAGAGCACCGGCACCTAGAGGGAACTATAAAATTATTCAAGCATAGGCAAAACCTTCAAAAGTCACTGCATAGACCAAAGAGATTTTATTGCGATACTGGGTAGAATTCGTGACACACCACGATGAGACTCATCTCAACTTTTCTAATTTTCCAAATTAACCCCAATTCCGAATAGTTGCAGAATCAGAAATACAGACGTCGCCTATGTTTAATCAATTTACACTTAAAGAGGCAAAATAAACAGTAGCGGTCAAAGAAAATTTCAAACTTATTTTCAGATCTTTCTCTGGAGGAAAGAAATAAAATGCTCGAAAAAGCGTTTCGGCGAACTTGTCCCCTAGTAGTTGTCTGCAAATTACTCAC